ACCCCCATGAATATCCCCAATGTCCCCAGCTCTTTACCCGTGCTCTGTTGCCTCATGATCGCTGCAGCTCGTACCATAATTTACCCCAGTCTCGCCCCATCTCCAGCTGCCACACATCTGCAGCCCTGCCAGCCCGAGCCTCCTTGCACATACCCCACTGATGAGTCCCCAACGCCCACCTGGGAGAGCCACAGCAACATCACCTTTCCCTACCTCCCCGAATGGTCACCAGGCCACCGCAGAGCAGCAGAGGAGGTCCCGGGGGTGATGCATTACCCCGAGCAGCTCATGACACAGGCATCAAAGCTATGCGTGGTAGAGGGAGCAGGTGAAGTGCCTGCGGTGGGGAGGGCAGCAAGGATTGTGCAGGCAGCGTTTACCCTGTGGGAACTGCCTGTCCCCACTGCAACCCCTTTTGCGATACACTTCCTTTTACCGTAAGAGCCCTTCAAGGGAGGTGCTTGGGCACAGGCACTCGGGTCTCTGGCTCGGCGTTACCAAGCTGCAGCCTGCAGATAAGGCTGCAGCAGCTGTGGGGACATTCAGCATCTTTTCCACTCCCTGTGCTAACGTGGCACGAGGGGAGGAGATACCACACACACACAGCTGTGCATACCCACCCAACTCACCCTTTTCCAGCAGCGATTTAGAAAGTCTCAAGTCCAGCACAGGCCAGAGCGGTGACACAGGCTGGGCAGGAATTTGGGCCATAAGGGTGAGGCTTTGTCCATCTTTGACTGTAAAGAGCTGGACACATCCAGGGCTACTGCAGGGAAGGAGGATTTCCAGCATGAAGTCAACGCCCTGTGCCTTGTCACAGAAAAGTGTCTCCTTCCTGTGGGACTGAAGGTGAAAAAGAAACACCCTGCTGGCACTAGGAAAAGGGTGTCACAGCTGTCACCTAAACACTCACACTATTGCCCATAACGGAGGCAAACACACAAGTGCACAAGCCTCTTTGAAGGGAAATGAGAGGGTAGGAGGGACTGGCATATCTGACTGCAGGCATATCCTATGCAGGGCAGTGGGAGACACAGTCTAGCTCCTATTTTACCCCATGAAACTGGCAAACCACCTGGTCCACGCACCACAAACCACTCGTGGGGTCCCACCAACAGCAGAGCCCTCTGCCTGGTGCATGCACCACCCCCTCCACGGGGCCCGGGCTCCTGCAGGGCTGCCAGGACTCTGAGCAATGCATGTGGCCAGGGATACCCTTGGGATGAAAGGGGGAATCCACCTGGCACCTGCATGTTGCATGGAGATGGAGGAAGCCAAGGCTCAACTGGTGCTTCATGTCAGGCGGAGGCCGGACAGGACCTGCTCTCAGGGCTATCTGGCAGGTTCAGCCTGCAGGGACTACACGGCACTGGGGCACCGGCATATCGGCATCCCCCATCTTCACAGACACGATAGTGAACAGGGTCAGGCTCAAGACACAGCTGCATCCCCAGACAACCCACCTGCACAGAACATGAGCCCCCACATCAGTCCCCTAAAAGATGTTAAGGCCCCCATGCAAACTCTGCCTTGCTGCCACTGTTGCAGCCGCGTTTTGCTGCGTTGCTTCTGCAGGAACACACAAAGCTCAGAGATCCCAGAAACCAGCAACTGGGTCCAAAACACCTTCAACCCTGGTGGCAGCCGTGCTGCTGGGAACACAGATGTCTCCCCAGACCTGACCCTCCTATGGAGACAGAGCCCACAAGAGACCCAAGAGCTCTCCACAGACTAGCAGGAACCAGCTCGTCCCTGGCCACGCAGTGATTTACCTGTGTAGCTGGAAATGGACTCCAGGGCCCTCTTGGTTCAGACCACCAGACCCTGCTGCTCTTGATGCACGCAGGTGTTGTAACAGGGATATCCAAGCAATGCAAGAGTGCCTAGAGCAGTACTGAGTAATGAATGGACTACTGGGGAAGGGAGAGCACACAGGGCTTTGAGTGAGATGGCAGCACAGCATCAACGAGCCCAAAAGAAAGGCTGAGAGGAGCAACTTGAGAAGGGATCTGGGGACTAACTAATGGGAATGTGCTAGACCGCTCATGGGAGTGTCCTAGACCTTGAAAACCCACACAGAAGCATTTGGGGAGCCTGGACATCCTTCCAGCCTCTGCCAGATGAGTCAGCTCTGCCCAGGCACCGTGGCTACATGCAGCCCCCTTTGCTCTGGTTCACCATTCTTGCGGGTGGGATAGGGCAAACCCTAAACATCCTTTGAGCACTTACATACCAGACACAGGCTTCTGCAGCATCAGGCACCAGGGTCAAAGCTCGGAGACACAATAAATCGCAGAGCGAAGTTGTTTCTGAAGACAAGGCTGATAAGGCTGCCAGCAGCCAGCCTTGCAGAAGGACAGGCTCAGGAAAAGAGCAGCCATGAGAATAAAAGGCTGGCAAAGAAACAGAAAATACTGGGAGCAAGTAATTCTTTCCAGACAGTCCTTTGGGCTCATCTCAGCCTCCATCTGCTCCCTATCTGCTCAGGATGGTCAGGCAGCTGGAGCCTTTAAAAAGGCTACTGGTGACTTCCCCCACAATCACCACTGTCTCTGGGACAGGCACCATGGATAAGACAAACCTGGGAGCCCTTCCAGCCAGAGGTCTGGGGGCCAGCATCCTCCCCAGTCTCCCAACAATGCCAGCACCCCCTTACAGATCACAGGTCTGCACTGCCAGCAGAGCAGGGTGGATGGTTTATCGCCCCGTGCTTTACTGCCAACTGGCTTTTTGTGCTCATGCAGGGAGGGAATAGCACGGACCTCTGGAGAAATGGCTAAGATAGGTGGGGCAAAGCAACGAGCTGGGCAATGCTGCTAAGAAAGTGCCTCCATCCCCTGGCACTGCTAATACCATATAGATGAGACGAACCAAGCCAGGAGAAGGGGATGGACAGAACAACCCCGAGCCCTCCATTTGCCTCCAAGCCAGTCAGTCCAACAGGCCGTGAGACGCTACATTGCCAAGCGCCCCAAGAACTGCAGAACTGGGGAACAACAATGGTGGGAAGGGATCTCAGGGGGTTTTGGTCCAATCCTGCTGACAGCAGGGCCAAGCTCAAGCAGGTTGCTTATTGCCCCTGCTGAGGGCTGAAAGTCTCCAAATGTAAAGACTGCCTCCCTTCTCTGGGCCCTGCTCCAGAGTCTAACTGCCCTTGTGGGGAAATATTTTTCCTAATATCTAATTGGAATCTCCCTTGTGTGCTATTGACTCTCACCCTGCCCCTGGGCACTTCCCAGGAGAGCTCAGCTCCGGCTTCTCTCCAAATGCACAGCTGCCGGCAGTGGTGAGAGCCCCCTTCGCTGCCTTCTCTTTCCCAGGCTGCACAAACCCACCATTCTCAGCCTCTGCCTGCAGCAGCACACCAGAAGCCCCACAGCAGGGCCAGAGCTCCAGCGCATCCTTAGAGACTGCTGGAGCCTGTTAGTCTCCATCCTGCCCAGCCAAGGGGAGGACAGGAGGCACCTGCAGCCAGCACTGAGTAGCAGACACCTGCACACCTTGGGGGTGCTGAAAAAAAAAGAGACTCACCTCAACACTGAGACCAGTGGGGGCTGGTTTTGTTCAAGTATTTGATCATTGCTCTGGTTAGCAGCAATACCAGTGCCTGCTGCAACACATCTAGGTTATCCCAAGCCGGGATTCCCAAGTACCTGCTCTGAGAAGTTTGGCCCTAAATACAGAGAGCTTTGGCTTCACCGCTGTGCCACTGATAACAAGCCTACCTCCATCATGCCCATGAAGGACCTGTTCTCAGGAGTGATGAGCAGGACCATCATGAGTCAAACTCTGGATGAGGGAAGCAGCCATCCATGACACCTCAAACACCCCCCCAGCAGAGCCCAGGTCACGTAAGGGATTTTGGAGCCAATGACCAACCCTCTCCCTAGATCTGCAGCGCATCGTCCTCATCCCAGCTCTCTCCCTATGCTGCGTTCACTCAATCCAGAGCTATCTGTTTATCACTCTCTGCTCCAGCAGGGATCATTCATTTTTCTATCCTCTCCCTGCTCTCTGAGTGGATGGGAAGGTTACTGGGCAGGACCCAACCAGGACAGAGACCTGCTCACCTTGCCCAGAGCCAGCTGGACACCCCACTGCCTGCATGGGGACAAAGATCCACCCCACGCGCTGGAGGCTGGGATACCTGGTCACCGCACTGCTGCCTTGCAGTGCTCATCTTTGGTCCCTCCTGGGAAAGCCTCAGCACCAATGATGCCCCAGGCTGCCCCAGGAGAGCAACACAGCCACGGCTGGAGGAGATGTGGGCAGAGAATGGGTTCAGCATGTGGCCGAGCTGGATCCCGGCCCGTTCCCAAGCCACAGGCACCGCCTCCACCTGCTAAGCCCCGTGGCTTTCCCAGCTCTCCTCCGGCACCCTCACCCCATTGCCCAGGGAACCCGGCATGGGCTGCCAGGCCCTTGGGTTCCCTCAAAGCCCAGACCTCAGTGAGCATCTGCCCTCTGCTTCCCGCTGACTCATTCCCCTGTGATTCACCCCCTCCTCCTGCCTGACTCACCCATTTCTGCCACAGCCGCGTGCACGCACGCGTGTGTGCGCGCGAGGGTGTGTGTGTGCAACCCGGCCACAGCTGTCAGGGCAATGCCACAAACTCTGCAAGGCAGCAAACCAGGCAGGGAGAGCCTGGCCGGGCTTTGCTAGAGCCCTCACCTCCCACAGCACTCAGCACCAGGAGGGGCAGAATGACATGGCTGGCTCAAGTCCATGGTGGGGAGACGAGGCAGAAAGGCAGACAGGGAGTGTTGCTGTGTGCCAGCACTGCCGAGATAAGGAGCGATGCTGGGGGAAGGCTTCCTCCAGGCTCCAAGGCTGCCTTCCAGGCGAGTATGTTCACTTTATCAGCCCTCCAGCAGCCTGACCCCCACAGCTGGCTGTGGGAGGGTTAGCCGGCGCTGCAGCAGCTCAGATCCACAGGCGAGCCGTCTGCCAACTAACCTGCTTTTGGGTACAGCCAAATGTACTCCCCCAGGCTGTGCCTCTTCCCAGTTTGACTCTCTGGGGTGGAGAGCTTCCTGGGAGCCGGGAAGGGACTTCTTCTAAGCACGGCTACGGTCACTCGGCATCAGGGCCCACAGGCTTGGCCAGTTCCTGAATCTGGACAGTACAAGCCACACACATGATGCTACATATACATGTCCTCTGCAGGCTGCTTCTCTGACTAGCAATTCCCCTAATGCTAGGGGCTGAAGCTAAACCAGGCTTTGCCCCACATCCTTTCCCTTCACCCTTCCCCTAGCATCACCCCTTCCAAGGGCTCTCCAGCTGACCTCGGCCTCCTTCTCGGAGAGGACCAGAGCAGACAGAGGTGACAAGAGGAAGACCGCAACAACGCAGCTGTGCTGGAGCCCAGGGAGAGCCGCAGCACACACATCCCAGCTGGCAAGCAGCTCTGTGTACCAGAGCACATCCATCTGTGTCAAAGAGCACACAAGAGCGCCGGCGCACGCGGAAGATGCCAGTCTGTGCAGCGCACCCGGTCACGGACCTGCGCCTCTGCCTGTCGTAGCTGGAGGATCCATTTCCCATTGAGTACAGGAGAAAATTACTGGGATCAGACACAGGCTATTCTCTTGCCCTTTCCTCTCCACATTCCATGGGTCAGAGTCACGCTGACAAGGGACTCTGGTCCCTTCCACCCAGGAGTGCTTGGCCAGCTGCAACATTTTGCCTACAGCCATACACAGGTTACTCAGGACAAGCCTTGCTGGTGGTGCAATAGGACAAGTTAGTCAAGTATCACTCCAGCAGGGTCACACAGCCCCAACCAGGTCTGGAGGCCCTGACACCCAGGAATTAAGGACAAACTAAACCATCCTTTGGCCAGGGAAGGAGGGACAATGTTTTGGGCTGGGGTGTCACGTATTAATAGGGACAAAGAACAATTTTCTGCCAAAGCTCAGCACTGTATGTCAGAACTGCTGGTTCTCCACAGATTTTTGCATTCCTGATCCTCACCATGTATGCACAGAGCCCTTCTCAGGGCAAAGAAACCAAGTTTTTGTCACATGGGGTCCCACGGGCTCCAGCAACTTCCCCTGCACACCACTCCGCCTCTCATCAGGATGCTCCTGTCCCTGGGGTCCCTTCTAGGGTGGGAGGGGTGGAGATCCATAGTGCTCACTATGTGTCATCAGCGAGGCCAAAGGCAGGGTCAACACCATGGTCATGGTGTCACCAAGATCACAACACTGGACAAGCACCTGAACGAAACGCAGCAGCCACCAGCAGGACAGATCCAGCTATTTAAATGCATATGCTTAAATCAGCCTGTCACCACTGAAAGGATGGGCTTCCCTACAAGATCTGGGAGCCCCTGAGAGAGCAGCAATAACCTATGTGAGCTCTTATACAAGGCTGGCTCCCTGCTGTAGCCCCTGTGCAAAGGGGAAGCTGAGGGATGTGCCCTACACCGAGTTAGGGCAGCCGGGGACTGCTCCAATTTGAGCCAGACCATGACGATTTCCTGCCAGCCCCCCATTTGTGACTAATGGAGCAGTAACACCCCATCTGCAACACGCCCCCTCCAGCCAGGCTGAGGGGAAGAGCAGAGAAGAGACAGCCAAGCTGCTCTTGCTTCTGATGTCTCTCCCACAGCAAGGGGATCCCTTGCAACTGCCTTGTGTTCCCCTTCTGCAGCCCAGGTGGCTAAGAAGAGTAGCAGAGCATCCCTCCAAAGTACAGTGACAAGACCTTTCTGCCTTCAAATAGCATGTTTCAGGTCAGCAAGTTAGGAACTGTCAACAGAGAGGAGCCACTTTATTCACCTACCTTTATGGTAGTAGCATACTTCTGCAGCACAGGTGATGCCAGAGGACAGGACGAGAAGAGAAGATTTGGGGCAACAACAGATGGAGAAGTTCAGGCTTTCTCAATGTCCACTCTAAGCAGCAAGATGTATACAAAGTTGACACTTCTGCTGAAATGGTTCCTGGGTACAAGGACAGACACACAGAGCATGACTCAGAAAAGGCCAGCTACCAAGGTGAACAGAAGTCATTATGGTTTCCGAGAGCCCTGAACCAAACATTCTATTTCTGGGTTCCTCTTCTGACAGCAGCATTCTATTCCGTACAGTTCTCCCTTCATGGTGCTTGATAAAAGTAGAGCAGCCTCCAGGCTGCTAACTTAAGTGGTGGCTGCAGTGACCCTCATGGAGTATTCCCTGGGACTAGCTTTCATCTCCTAGACAGAGCCCAATGAAGCATCAGCCCTTTGTTCCAAAAATCACATCCAAGGTCATCTGATTGAACATAAAGACCAGATGTGGAATTTCTTTAAATGAAAGCTTAGATGGGGGAGCACGCCTGTGCCAGGGGATGAAGCTGAACAGCCAAGTGCCTGCTAACCCAGCCTGAGAGTTTTAAGGACCGCCTTTTCTGGTCAGTAACACAAATCCAAGTTTGCTAAAATTGGAAAGCCCACCGTGTGGTTCCCAGCTGGCGCTCACCCTTCCTGCAAGCTGGAAACCCCTATTGTCTCAGCAGCCCTGATCAGCCCCCCGCCCTCACCAAGGGGATGCTCTTGTTGACTCAGCACATCCTGCAGCCCTCCATACACGTCCTGGGTGGGCTGGCCGGTTGGCTCACACCATCCAAAGCTCAAGATGGAAACTAGCTGTGTCCTGTTTCCACCTTGCTGTGGGAAGGGAAACAGAGGTTTCTGCCATCCATCCCTTCCCTAGCTTCTTTTGCTGGACCCTCTGGTGCTGTGCTCCACAGGGCACCCTGAGCAGATGACATTAAGCAGAGGGGCTAAGAAAGCAGCTACAATAGGGCCTTCCTGCTTATCTACACATGAAAAATCCAGTTTTAGCTTGGGCAGGCACTGAAAAGCCAACTTCCCTCTTCTGTCAAGGCAAAATATGCCTGCAGGCACCCGGGACTGTCTCCTCTTCTGCATTTTGGAGAGACTCTCCCTTGCAGGCATTGCCTTTTACCCTCTGCAGCCTTCACAGGCTCACAGCAGGTTGGAGAGGCCCAAGTGCTAGCTACACCAGTGACACTGCAAATTTAGGTGCCAGGGGGATGGGGGGGGATGCAAATGCCATGGGGGGGGGGGGGGGGTGTTGAAACAAAACCAAACCACCCAAAAATCCCAGGGCAGAAGGCCTGCACAAAGCCTACAGTCCTGGCCTCCTGGCTCCCAGCCTTGTGTTCAACACTCATTCATCTCAGTATACAGTTCCAGTTTTCACTCTGGTCTTAAAGCTCCCCATGAAGTTGCTCTCACTGACTTTCACAATTTCTTTTCTCTCTGCCCCACTTCCAGCAGGGACCTCAACCGCTGCTGCCTCCCAGCAAAAGGGTCTCCATGACCTTTGTAATTCAACACACTGGGAAAGGCTCAATCCATTCCCTCTATTCCTAGCCCAACACAGACCTTAAAAGCCCTCTTTGTTCCTGCTACAAACCCTATCCCACAGCCGTGGCTTAACCCTTAGGGCACTGCCTCAAATAAAGAGTGCTTCACAGAAGCAAGGCGGGTTGCAGCATCCATGGGAAGCTGGACCTACCCTCCACCTACAAAAGAGCTGTGCTGACAATCTGCTGGTGGCTTGCAGGACACATCAGATACATCTCCCCCCTCCTGCCCCATCGTGTGTATCTGATGCGTCCTCCTCATCAGTACAATGTACTACCAAGACGTGCACGTGGGGACCCTGCGCCCCACACTGCTGCAGCGACACAGGACGTGGGCTGGACTTTATAGTCTCCTGGTTTTGCTCTGCCTGCCCTCAGTTCAGCAGGTTTATTACAAAACACGCTGCATGCAGGCAGATTTGGGGCCGCAAGGAAGGAATAGGGGTGAGGAAGGAAGCAGGGGGGACCGGGCACTCCCCTTCTCACTCCTGCAAGGACTCCTCTGCTCCTGCCCCCAGGTACAGCCATTGCTCCATGCCCAGGTGCAAAGCAGAGACGGCAAGGGACGCCGCGTCGTTACCTCTGCAGCCTGCATGTAGGCAAGAGCGCAGTGACGGCACTCCCGACTCTTGCCTTATCTGAGATAAGCTCAGACCCATATCCTGAGCAGCAGCTCATAAATCACACGTTGTAGGAGGCAGTGCCACGGGATTGTCCATAATCATACGCCCTGCACATAGTAATGAAGAGGGGATGGAAGATGCAGCCAGCCCCCCCTGCCCTAGCACGATCCCTGGCACAGGAGAAGGCAGTATGGAGCAAGGGCTGCTTTGCGGCACCTAAAAATGCCAGCTCTGCAGCTGGGATGGAACAGAGCTGCCCTGCAGCACCCTGAAACACCAGCTCCACAGCAGACAGAGCAGGCTTGCACCACTGCACCCCAAAACACCACCTCTGCAGACAGGATGGGGTAGGGCCACCTTGCAGCACCCCAACACGCCATTTCCTACCAGCTGCTGTAACTTCCCCTCTGCCCCTTTCCGGTCCCACTCCACCCTTCCCTGCTCCCCAGACCACTGGGAAACTGAGTCACGGCGTGCTGTCCCTACCCTGAGGAGGGAGAGTGGGTGGGCAGCCCGCAGCACTGGGCACAGCATGGGAAGTAGGGCAAGGGTGGTAGTGACACCTCCGAAAACCTCAGCGATGGGGAGAGATAAAGATACCCACATGTCCTATACTAAGCAGCTATCTGAATTACGAGCCTCCTCTGTTCCCACCCCTCTCGAAGCAGAAGTTGGCCCCACTTTGCTGCTGGCCATATAGACTGTACCCAGCTCTGCTGGGTTACATCTGGCCCCGTGGAGTGGCCCACGCGCTCTCTGGCACCAGAGCGGACAGGGACATGCAGGGCTCTGCACCAGATACATGTAACTTAGCATGGCCCAGAAAAGAAAGGTAATGCCACAGAGGAATAAAAAAAATAAAATAATTAAAGACCCAGATAGAGCATTATAAAACAGAAGAGTGCCCTGGCATCCAAATGGCTGGTAGGGGACTGGATGCTTCCTTGAGAGCAGGTCGTTGCATTCTTTACTTTAAAAGATTCGTGTCTAAGTAAAGACTTGGATTTTCTGGTCCAGCTCTAGGAGCTGATAAGTTTCCAGTTACTGACCTCAGCCTCTCTGTTTTTACCACACACCTCCAAAAACCCTTCTGAGGGCCTCCTTACTAGTTAAACTTCCCAGGACCAGGCCCATAGCAGTGTTCGCCCACACCAGCATCATTTAAAATCCCTGTATCTGGTGCGATAGCAAATCACCACCCATCTATCCACCTTGCAGGCAGAGAAGCTAAAGCTAAAGATTTGTTCATTCAGGCTTCAGGTCAGAAGTCTCACTAATGTTATTAAAGTTATGGTTTCTTTACTGCTTTTCTCATGGTCGCAATGAGGTTAAGAGCCCAGCATTGTCCAGTTCAGCTGGGCCACCGAATGGGAAAGCAGAGCTCAAGCTGCGGAAAATGCACAGCTATTATGCACTTCTCATCTGCAAATCTCCTGGCATCTTTCCCTAGGCTCCTATCTCTTGGTTGCCTCGCTCCACCTTCCTAGGGACTCTTTGAAAACAGACCCTTTCACCCCTCCTCAGTAAGCCCGTTCAGGTGGTATTTGCTGTTGTTGTTATGCAAAATACAACATTATTGCCAATACCCTTGCCCCCACTCTATCTCTCAGGACAACATAACAGTAGATTAAACTCATTATCCCCTATCACTTTATGGCACTATCTTTTCAATTCTCTGTTAACACACATCTGAGACATATCGAGTTTCAGGCAGGCTCACTCCAAAGGAAAATCCCTGCTCTTTCCTTACAACGATTTGCACAAGCAATACCCTTTCTTTTCAGTAGCAAAAAAAAGCTCAAACCAAACTGACATCACCACCACCAAAAAAAAAACCAAACCAAAAAAACACTCCAAAAAACCCACTTGGAGGTTCCCTTAAGGACAGAACTTGACTTTTCTTTCCAGACCACCACTTTGATTAGACCTTTCCCAGGTTCTGGAGGGTAGCATTCTCACTACTGCTCACACTGGTGCAGCTCCACCAGCAACGTTTGGAGCCATGTAGTGAGGAAGTTTTCAAGGGTGAGATGCCTTTTCCTTCTCAAAAGCAACCAGCACATGAACATAGGCATTTCCTGGTAAACTGTTGCTCCTTGCTTCCAGCCTCTGCTACAGGGGTGGCCTCTGATAGCAGCCTTCCTCCGGAAACACCGCTGCGTTTTGCTCAGTTACTCTAACAGTATGATATTGTAGGGAAACAGAATTAAACAGAGCTGTAATCTATAATAAATCATTCCTACTGAGCTGCCAGGGAGATAGCTCCACAGGAGAAAGAGAGGAGCTCTAAGTCTGTTTCCTCAACAAACCTAAGCCATGAAACAGCCTTTTGGATACAGGGAACAGGCACAGCAGCAAGAGGAGCACTTTAAGGGTGGCAGATTGATGCCACCGATTTTTGTGTTCTCTCTATCCAGATTTATCACGTGGCCAGGGCAGATCATTGCAAATACCTCAAGATCCCAGACTGTGAGCCCAGGGGAGGGGTCAGCAGACCACACCCAGAAAAAAAGCCTGAGAATATTCTAGTTCCTCAAAAATTGCTCATATTTTCAGCTGTTGCTGCTCCTAGAAGATGAATTGAAAGCAAAGCTCAGACCCGCTTCTTGATGCCATAACTGCTTTATTTTGCTGGCAGCCACAGCAGAGAGGACCTTGAGAATTACCCTCTTTGTCCACCACTGGCCCAGCTATGCTAATCTCATCAGTAACACAAACACTGGTACAGAAAGGACTCGAGTGACTGTGCTAACCTGTCTGCACTATACTCTCTCTGCACAGCTACAGCACTGCTGACTGGCAGTGAGAAAACCCCAGTGCACAGAGTCCAGGCATTTTCCCCCGGTCTGAGTTGAGCAAAGAGTTGGCTCTTGCAAGCTATTCTTTATGCATCTTCCAGACAGGGCAATCTATACAGCACTGCTCAGCTCAACTATCTTCGCACA